CTTCATCTCATGGAGAAAATCAAACAATAAAGCAAATGGAGCGATGGCTGACACCAAATTTACACAGAGAGAAGGTGAAGTTTCTAGTCATAGAAGCTAGAGGGAAATAACCTGATCCTCTTTCATGGAGATCTCAAAGGAGGGCTCCCTACCAGTAGTATTGACATACAATTTTATCAAAAGATCTCTAATGACGGTTCCCTGCTAAAACTCGTATTTATATGCAATTATATCATAAACTATTGGAGGAAAAATGTCGGGAAAAATTCGTCTACTAGTAATGCGAAATTTTTTTTCCCTCTTTTGTGTGACAAAATGGAATATCGACAAAGCGTCCACCATATCACCAATAATTGGATTATAAGACTCACAATAACATCAAAGAAAAAAACTTGAGGCGCTCAATCCCTCACTATTTTCTTTCTACACAAAGTAGAGTTTTCGCACAATTCTCTCTAATCTTCTCTATTAGAGGCTCTCCAAATTTTTTGTTACAAGTATGACAAGCTCTCATTTTGTTTATAAGCAAATGTTGGATGGAAGAAGACAAATTGAACTCAACTTCATTTTCTTGTCAAACTTGTCTGTTAGTTGAGAAAGAAGATTTGAACTTTACTTCCTTTGCTTGTCAAACTTTTCCATTGATTGAGAATGCAAAATTTGTTTTCTATTCCTTGAAAATTTGATAACATTTGTAGTAAAACCGGTTTTGTCCACCTTAGATGTGGTGGACCACACAATAACATTTGTAGTAAAACCGGTTTTGTCCACCTTAGATGTGGCGGACTACACAACAAAAAATACTTTGAAGATGGACCCATTACCAAAATAATAGTTAGCAATTTTTCATGGTATCAAGCTAGACATTCAAAACCGAAGAGTATCCTACACGTTCTAGTGCTCCAATAGTTCTAAATGACTTTATGTTATACTTCCACAAATTATGGGTAATCGAGTACAAAAACATATTTCTCCATAACAGTCTCGAAATTGCTATTTCCACAGAGGCACAAACAATTAAGAAGATTTCAGGTTCGATCTCTCAGTCATAGTGGACAACATGTTGTGACGTCCACAGTTGACATTGTAACTTTTGCCTACCGGGGATAGTAGATAAAGATCTATTTATTTCATTGTTGATGTCAAAATTTGTAAGAATTAATCTCCAGTCAACTTTAGGAGAAATGGCAATCTCCCCTTATTATGAAAAATACTACAATTGTATATCGAGAAGGCATAATTATGTGGTGCATTTGTATGAAAGTTCACCCTCTTTCAAGAAAACCATTTCTCTACTATTTGTACACGACCACAGTCGAAATTACATCAAATCAATCAAATCAGCTACAAGATCGAGCTCGGAAGTCTGGTTGCAAAATTCTTTTGTGATTGGTTGACGAAGCCGATTGTCATGTGCCAATGTTTTCTTAGGGAATGATGGCCTGCAAAAGGTTGGAGATCCGGGGCTTTGGATTAGTGGTTTTAGGCGGTGATGACGTCATCCTTTACAAGTGTATATGATTGAGAAGATGATATACCGATCTGAACTGTGGCCGAGCTCACATCAGCCTAAAGTGGGGCCTGCGAATGGCTCTTATGAGACCGGAAGTCGGTAGTCAACATTCATAAGTAGTTCAAAAGAAATGTACAACTGATCAAGCTGCTGCCATGCAATTTCACCATTGCTAAAAACCAACTAAATTAATGATCATGGTACCCTATAATCCTTTTACCAGAATTGTAAAAGGCTGTGGCAAGGTTACATCAAAATGTGCATTTCTTTACTCTGAGGAGGAGGAGGAGTCATCCTCAAATTCTTCAATCTTTTGCCCGAAACCTCTGGGTCCAGCTTTAATTTTACCATTTTTGCCGCTCTTCTTTTTCCTAACATAAAAATAAAATTTACCCCAATTGTAAGAATGGCTAAATCGATGAAAGCAATGAAAAGAAGAGCCTATATTACTGTAGAAACACCATCATCACTTGAGGAGACCACTTCCTGCAAATTCTCTTCTGGGGTGACTTCTGATAGTAAATAATTTACATTTACAGCAGAAAATCTCCAATTTCTTATGGGTTTTAGATATACGGCACTCGCCGAATTCCGATAATTCTAAGTTCTTATTGAGATTTGAGGGAATGACGGAGAAAGTGAATAGTGGGTATTTTGATAAAATGACTAGGTCTACTCAAAAGAACCAAGGAGAGAGCTGGAGGAGCATCACATTCTTTCAATGTTTACATTTGAATTCATAATTTTTTCCTATTTTTTTATCAATCCACTTTTCAATAAATAAATAAATTATTCTAAAGAAATTACATCAAACATGCCATTACGCTCATCTACTGTTTAAGTCAGAGTGAAACTTGACTGCTGGGAAAATATGTTTTAGAAACTTTGTAGGAGGAACAATGAGATCACAAACTTCTTCTAGAATATTAATATTAATAAATTCATGCTTAAAGAGTAGCTGAACCCACAAAATAAAATATCTTAAAATAATATTCTTAATAATGGTGATATGTATAAATTTGTGGTTTTTTTAGGAAACATTGTAACATTTTTCAAGATTTGAATATGTGCAACTTCATGAAACATAATCTTATCACGATATCTATGTATTCTTACAAAATTCGATATAAAATACCATCAAAAAGTTTTTTTTAAAAAAGTTTTTTGAAAAATGAACTTACATAAATTTGATAGATCTATAAAATCTTTGTAGCCCAAATTCGACATGTCCTGGTATTTAAGATTTGATTCCTGCTTCCTCGTTAGACCCTTTCGTATTCTTCAAAAACAACTACTAATGTGTGTGGACACCAATTTCGATTCTAGCCTAATCAGAGAAGAAAGCACACAACTTTTGTGTACTATATATATATATATATATATATATATATATATATATAATTTTATTTATTTATTTTTATTTTATT